GATCTTCTTTGTGTTGATCGTATTTTCTAAAAAAAGCATCTCTTTTGTAATATAATCTGCACAGCACTAAAGTGCTTTGTACATCTTAAAAACAAATGCTTTTATGTTGGTTTTCCTGTATTATTACTATAACTCCTCTTAATAATTGTTTGTAGGCTGTATAGGCAGTCCTCAACTTACGACTTAGTTAAACCCGAAATCATGGTTGTAATTTGTGGCACTTATTAAGCATGTCACCACATGATCATGCCTGATTTTACGATCTTTTTTGCATTGGTCATTAAATGAATAACATGGTTGTTAAATAAACATGGCAGTCATTATGTGAATCCATTACACCAAATGGGTATTTTTTTGTGGAAACCTGATATAAATGTCAGAAACCAGAAAAAAAATGTCAAAAGTCAGTCAGCTGACCACAGAACACTGCAAGTGGCCATAAATGTGAGCTTCATCCCAACTGCAATCACACGACTGCTGAGAGGGGGTGCAGCTGTCAGAACTTCAAACTCGAGTCCTAACTTTTGGGGGATCTATCATAACTATGATCAGTCACTAAGTGATCAGTCATTAAGTGAGGATTACCTGTATCGATCAGATGTGTAGGAGGCATGTATTTTCTTTACTTGTTAGGGATCTGGTTTTTATCTTGCTTTTGTTTATATATTAGGATTTTTTAAAATAAAAAGTTGTACAGGTAGTCCTTATGTTTAATGAAAAGAAGGACGAGGGGGGGGGGGGACATGATAGCAGTGTTCCAATATCTCAGGGGCTGCCACAAAGAAGAGGGAGCCAAGCTATTTTCCAAAGCACCTGAAGGCAGGAAAAGAAGCAACGGATGGAAACTGATCAAGGAGAGAAGCAACTTAGAACTAAGGAGAAACTTCCTGACAGTTAGAACAATTAACCAGTGGAACAACCTGCCTCCAGAAGCGGTGAATGCTCCAACACTGGAAGTTTTTAAGAAGAGACTGGACAGCCATTTGTCCGAAATGGTATAGGATTTCCTGCCTGAGCAGGGGGTTGGACTAGATGACCTCCAAGGTTCCTTCCAACTTTACTATTATTATTATTATTATTATTATTATTATTATTATTATTATTATTATTATTATTATTATTATTATTATTATTATTATTATGTTCACAACTGAGGCAAAAATTTCTGTTGCTAGTTGTTGTTGTTAAATGAGTTTTGCTACATTTTATGACCTTTCTTGCTGCTGTTGTTACGTGAATTACTACAGTTGTTAAGTGAATCTGAATTCTCCATTGACTTTGATTGTCAGAAAGTGATGAGGGAATAGAAGGGAAACTCATCAAATTTGCAAATGACACTAAGCTGGCAGGAATAGCCTACACTCCAGAAGACAAACTCAGGATCCAAAAAGATCTTGACAGATTTGAACAATGGGCCTTATCTAGTAAAATTATATTTAATGTGGAGAAAAGCAAGGTTTTACACCTGGGCAGGAAAAACCAAAGATACAAATATAGATTAAGCAAAAACTGGCTCAAAAACAGTAACTGTGAGAGGGACCTTGAAGTCCTAGTGGACGATCACCTAAACAGGAACAGCAGTGTGCGGCAGCAGCCAAGAAAGCTAATACAATTCTTGGTTGTAAAAAATAGAGGCATAGAATCAAAATCATGTGAAGTATTAGTACCACTTTATAAAGTCTTAGTAAGACCACACCTGGAATACTGCATCCAGTTTTGGTCATCACATTACAAAAAAGATGTTGAGACTTTGGAAAAAGTGCCAAAAAGAGCAACTAAGAGGATTAAAGGCCTGAAGACTAAAACATACGAAGAACGGTTGCAGGAATTGGGTATAGCCAGTCTAGAGAAACAAAATGACATGAAAGAAGTATTCCAGTATTTGAGGGGCTGCCATAAAGAAGAGAGGATCAACTTATTTTCCAAAACACCAAAAGGCAAGACAAGAAAATGGAAACTAATCAAAGAGAGAAGCAATCTGGAATTAAGAACAAACTTCCTAACAGTGTTAACAATTAACCAGTGGAACAGCTTGCCTTCAGAAGTTGTAGATGCTTCATCACTGGAGGCTTTTAAGAAAAAAAAAACTATCTGAAATGATATAGGGTCTCCTGCTTGAGCAGGAGGTTGGACTAGAAGACCTCCAAGATTCCTTCCAGTTCTATTCTGATTGAAGGTCACAAAAGGTGATCACATGATCTCAGGACACTGCAACCCTCATAAATACACGCAGTTGCCAACCATCCAAACTTTCATCATGTGACTGTGGGGATGTTGCAATGGTCATAAATTGAAAAATGATCATAAGTCACTTTTTCAGTGCCTTTGTAACTTCAAACTGTCACTAAATAAACGATTGTAAGTCGAGGACTACCTATACATAAATACTTCTGGCAAAAAAGGAAGTGATCGGTGTTTATATGTTGATTGCAGACGTTTAGAAGAGCCCCAGTAGACAGAACAGTTGGAAGAAGATTGCTTATATCAGTTTAAGCCTCTGTCTCAAACAGCTTCCCCATATGCTGTCTTTATATGTTTAGGCTGGGGCAAAGGTTGCTTCCTATTCCTAACTGTGTGAGCTCATATCCCAGGTCCTTTTTCTCTGGTTACTCCCCATTGGATGCCTAACTATTTCTCTGAATGGTTTGAAAGGTTCAGATTCTATCAAGGGAGTTATTCGTTTATTTTACTTCTGGTGTGGTATTTAAGATGTTGTCCTGGTAACCAGGCAAATGTGAAATCTAGGCCTGTCTTAGGCCTGAAAGCCGCCTAGGTGACTTTTTTTAAAGTTTAATCCTATTCTGCCTTTATTATTTTTTATAAATAACTCAAGGTGGCAAACATATCCAATATATCTTCCTCTTTCTATGAATATAGGGTCTCCCATTTTCTAGCCTGGTGCTTTAACCACTAGACCAGAGGTAGGCAACCTTGGCTCTTTTATGACTTGTGGACTTCAATTCCCAGAATTCCTGAGTGAGCATGGCTGGCTCAGGAATTCTGGGAGTTGAAGTCCACGAGTCATAAAAGAGCCAAGGTTGCCTACCCCTGCACTTGACTAAACTGGCTCTCCAAATAACTTTGGGCCTATCACTAGGAGAGGGCTCTAGTCCTGCCTTAGGCACACTGTTGGGTGATTTTTTTTAAATTTTATTTTTTCCTACCTTTATTATTTTTTTATAAGTGACTCAAGGTGCCAAACTTATCCAACACACCTTCCTTCTCCTATGTTCTCCACAACAACCCTGTGAGGTGAATTGGGCTGAGAAAGAGTCACTGGCCCAAAGTCACCCAGTTGGCTTTCATGGTTAAGGTGGGACTTGAACTCACAATCTTTAGTCTGGTGCCTAACCTCTGGTACTTCTCTCTACCAGAATGTAAGGAACTTCTCTGTACCACACTTTCTGATGAGAGAGAAGTCCCCTGAGGATGGACTCCAGTACGAGTCCACGAGCTTGGAAGACTAAGCCTCTGGTTCCAGTGACCAACCCAGATTTGATCCTTCAACATTATCCTGGGACACGTATATTTACCTTCCTTCATGGATATGTTTGCTGCCTTGAATTATTAATAAAAAATAATAAAAGTGGGATGAAAAAATATAATAAATTTAAAAAATGTGCATCATTATTCATATGCAGATATTTTTGTATTGCCCAGTTCCTAGACCAATGGTGGCAAACCTATGGCACGGGTGCCAGAGGCGGCACTCAGAGCCCTCTCTGTGGGCACGCGTGTTGTCGCCCAGTCCTAGGCCTTCAGCTGGGTTTTATAAAACCTTTTCGCTTTAGGCCTCTGCCACCATGTGCAAAAAAAAAAAGGTTCAATCAGTCAATTTCAACTTCTCGCAGGAAAAAAAAGATATTGCAAAGTTGGGACTGATTGATTGAACTTTTTAGTCCCACCGCAGCCATGCCCACCCAATTGGCCACACCCACCCAATGGGCCACACCCACCCGGCACTCGACAATGCATAAGTGGGTTTTGGGTTGCAGTTTGGGCACTCGGTCTCTAAAAGGTTTGCCATCACTCTCCTAGACAATGACAGAAATATCCAAAGATTTTCTTCTAACGCATCATTTCTGAAAGTATATGTTTGCTGTTATCTTATATGTTAGTATATGTTATCTTAAAATGCTTCTTTTTAAATACACACTTGTGAGTAGAAATTTGCTTATACAAAATTCAGACCCATAGAAATCTTGAAGGAGCCGTATGTCAGAAGTCAATTTTCATTAGCATGCTGAACTTCTCCACTCCCAGTCACTATTTTGCCTATGCTAGAAGATCTCCAAGGTTCCTTCCAGACCTATGATTCTATGTTCTGACCCAGTGATGGGTCAGAGACTGAGTGCCCAAACTGCAACCCAGAACCCACTTATGTATCATCGGGTGCCGGGTGGGTGTGGCCCATTGGCTGGGTGTGGCCCATTGGGTGGATGTGGCTGCGGTGGTAACGGCAGACTGAGTGGATGAAAAAGTTCAATCAATCAATTCCAACTTTGCACGATCTTTTTTTTTCCCCGCGAGAAGTTGAAATTGACTGATTGATTGAACCTTTTTTTTTTGCATACGGCGGCGGAGGCCTAAAGCGAAAAGGTTTTATAAAACCCAGCTGAAGGCTTAGGACTGGGGCGACAGCGCGCGTGCCCACAGAGAGGGCTCTGAGTGCCACCTCTGGCACCCGTGCCATAGGTTCACCACCACTGTTCTGACCCTTTAACACAACTTGTCAATGCAACAATATTTGAGAACTCCATTCTCAATATTTTTTAAAAGCCCCCATCCAAAATTTTTAAAAAAGGCCCTGGAAAAGAGAAAAATACCTCAATTTCAAGCTTAGAGATGATTTTAAGTCCCAGAGGAAAATGAAGCAATTTAGTGGCTGCTGGCCTAATGCAGGAAAGGTTAGAAGATTAAAAGACCAACTGCTGTTTGGGTAAGTGGTTGATAATTGCACATCCTAGCAATTACTGAGCTTGGTCTCCTGTCTGTCTTACCTTTTTTTTCCCTCGCGTGCCATCAGGGTTGATTCGAAATGTCCCCGAATTTACAGTCCTTCTTGGTCCAATTTTCTTGATCTCATACTCCAACTCATCAGCAAGAGCCCTACATGCTGCAGAGGGCAAAGGAAAAGAAGTACAGAGAGACAACCTCATCACAAAAAATCCCAATAGAAAATACAATAAAGACAGGGGGAAACTGACATGAATACGGAGAGAGCTGTTTGCAGCCAAAGTGTATTCCAAGTCATGTGCTTGCATAGCCATTCAAACACGTTGTCATCATGAAATATTAATATATAGCTGGGCCGGTACCTCACTGTAGTTTTTCCTTCTGAGAATAATTCTCGGAAAGAAGCTTTGGACACCACAGTGTCTTGTGCAATGTTGATGGCACAGATGACAACAGCTACTTTATTCAGGGGGGTAACTCTTATACATTGATAGAAGCCACATTTGAAAGATGGGTTGTTCCTGTGATGACACCATCTGGATCCTCACCTGTGGTAAGCCAGGATATGCGGCTGAAGCTAAATGTTATCCCCTTGCTGTTTATTCTCTCGAAAACATTTATGTTTCTGTGTCCCAAAGAAATAATATTACATTCATTTATAATTTGCTAGGTTCTGAAATGTCTGAGGGAAACCAGATAGGAGAGTCAAAAGGGCAGTGGAGAAAAGGGAAAGGGGAAATTATTTTTTTTTAAAAAAGGGAAGCACTGCCAGAGCTGACAGGTTGCCAATGGTGGTATTGGCAATGTTTATTTCAGTGTTTCCTAACTTGGCATCTTTGAGATGTGTCAACTTCAGCTCCCAGGGTCCTTATAAATGGCCATGATGGCTATGGAATGTTGGGATTTGAAGTCCAAACATCTCAAAGCTGCCTTGGTTTATGTACAATTAGTCCTTAACTTTTGATTGTTTGTTCAGTGATTGTTCAAATTATAACGGCATTGAATGAAGAGACTTATGACCCCCACATAAACGAAATCTGGACAATTGGTAATCCTCATGCCCTTACAATCTCCCCCTGCCTGTTTCCCCTTGTCAAAGGGGAGGACGCTAGTGCAGACCTGGCTTATGCTAGGCCTCCCAGGGCTTTCTCCATGTTCCTCTATGGCAGTGGTTCTCAACCTGTGGGTCGGGACCCCATTTGGGGTTGATCGACCATTTCACGGGGGTCGCCAAGCAAGGCTGTCCGCCATTTTCTTTGTCCATTTTTCCCCCCTTTTCCGGCGGGTGCCTTACCTCCCTTGGGCTGGGCCAGCTGGTGGTCGGCCTGCTCCGTCTCTGCCGCTTGCCAGCTACGCCTCGGCCGGCGCAGGGGGCGGAACCACGCATGCACGGCGTTCCCAGGCAGGGAAAGTCCTCGACTTACGACCGGTTGGGTAGTCCTCGACTTACGACCGGTTTAGTCCTTGACTTATGACCGGTTTAGTCCTCGACTTACGACCAGTTGGGGTCACGGCATTAAAAAGGTTGAGAACCACTGCTCTATGGGACAGCAGGGACTGTAGTTATTAAGCAAAACAATCACATAGGTGCCTCTCTTAATGACCACCATAATGACTGCCATAACCTACGACCATAATGGGCAGGATGGGGTTTTGATTTTTCACTAAAGTTGGGAACTCCTTTTCAGAAACATTTTCTGCAGCTTATCTGATGATGTCTTGCTTTAGTACCCATCCTTTTAACACATTTATATCATCTGTTTACTCCAAGGATCTCAAAATTGGCTACACTGCTCACTGTTCCCATTTATCCACATAGCTCAAGGATTGCTTGATTGAAAGAAAACTGACCATTAATGACAGGTCCTCCCACTTACTTTAACCTCCTACCCTTTGCTGGCACTGAACACGCTTTGTAGCAGATTTTTAAAATGTTATGAGCAGCCAATACAAGAAGTCCTTGGCTTACGGCTGTAATTCAGCCTGCAATTACGGCTGTAAACCATGATGGTCATTAATTAACCATGAAAGCACCTGATTTTTTGACCCCTTTTGTTGTTAAGTGAATGTGGCAATTATTAGCAAACCCATTGTTTTCTATGGGGCATGTTTTACCAGAAAATGGAAGCGCCATAACGTATAAGTAGAGGATGCTGAAAACAGCTGTATATGCGGGTGAGTTTCAAATGTGGGGCTGTAAGTAGCTTTTTCTGGCTCCTGTTTTCATCATAATTTTGTATGGTTGCCAAGTAACCACTCGAAAGTTGAGGAGTCCCTGTAATTTATTCATAAGAGCATAAGCCATGTTCCTCTATGGGAGGGCAGGGACTGTAGTTATTATGCAAAACAATCACATAGGTGACTCTCTTAAGGACTGCCACAACCTATGATCACAATGGACAGGATGGGTTTTGATTTGTTACAAAAAAAAGTACTTGGGAATTATGATGGCAAGGCTTAGAGAAAACTGTGTGTCTGTGTATGTGTAGACTGTAGAGCATAGGAAGGGCTACATGGTTGGGAATCAAACTGAAAAAATTCTTTTTTCTCTTTTGAACTCAAAAAGTCATTTATTACCTTGATTCCTTCATTTACTCTTTGGGCTTTATGTAATCTCCATTTCCAATTCCACCTCAGCAATTGACGTTCTTAGACAATTAGAACCCTTTGCGACAGTTTGAAAATACTTCCAATCTGGTTTGTTCTCATGATGTTGGCCAGTTTGGAGAACTAAACTGAGTTGTTTTTTGAAGCTGCCCTGATGTTTCGGAAGTAGAGGAATGCTGTTCTTTTTCATTGAAAAGCTGTAATTTTGCAGAACATACTGATGGTCTCTTTTTTCATTGGGTGAAACTCACCCCCCCCATCACGTCTCCCATCCTTCAAGGTGCTAGTTGTAACTTACCAAATGCTAAGATGCCATAAGGCCTGGTTACTTAAGGGACTGCCTGCCTCCCATAACATCTGCCCAGTGGATTCAATCCTGTACAGCTGGTACACTTTGAGTTCCTTTGGTTAAACAATGCCATCTATTGGGACCCTGGAAGGACAACTTCTTTGTAGCAGCACCAGCTTTCTGGAAGGAGGTTCCCTCTGAGATTCAAAAGTACCCAAAGACTCCCAGCCTTTTGGCAAGGGAGACCCTTGCCTTCTTTGCTTTTGCCATATTTTTTCTTCATCTATTTTTCATTATTTTTAATTATTTAATTTATATCCTATCTTTATTTTATTTTATTTATAAATACTTCAAGAAGGTGAACACATATAAATACATATCCTTTCTCTTATTTTCTCCATAGCATAACCTTGAGAGATGGGTTGGACCGAGAGAGAGTGACTGGCCCAAAGCCACCCAGTTGACTTTCATGCCTAAAATGGGATTAGGACTCACATTATCAGGGCGATTGGCCCAAAGTCACCCGGTTGGATTTCATGCCTACCGCAGACTATAACTCACCACCTCCTAGTGACTGACACAAAGTCACCCAGCCAGGTTTCAGGAATAGAACTCACTGTCAGGACTAGAACTCATTGTCAGGACTAGACCTCACTATCTCCCAGTTTCCATCCTGATGCCATAACTACTATTATGTATAATGATTATTGTATTGTAATTTCTATGTTTGATTGCTATGAGCTGCCCAGAGTTATTGAAAGTCAGACAACGTAGAAGTTTAATTGATCATCATCATCATCATCATCATCATCATCATCATCATCATTATCATGATCATCATCTTGATCATCATCATGATCATCATCATGATCATCATACTGAGGACATGTATCATTTAGTATCTTGCGTCATTCTCCACATGACTTTACTGTCCGTTCCTCCTACTTGCCAGGAATACTACTTACAATGTAATTCCCCCCTTTTTCCATTCCAGCCCCTGCCAGAATATGCCATGATGATACAACTGTTAGAAAATTACCCAATTGCAAAAATGTCTACAGATTATAATTTGACCTTCACTGCTGCAAGATATATTTTTTATTGAAACAGTTGAATGGCAGCTTGGCAGCCAGGAAGTTTTCCCTCACAATCACTCTTAACATTTTTGTAATTTATTTGGCTTTTGAGGGTAAGAGGATTTATTGCTCTAATGGCAGTGCCAAGTCGGTTTGGGCAGCCTTTTATTGATCAGCTGGACAGGGTATTGATTAGTTAATGGTATTTTTAGCATTTTGAGATAGTCAACCTAGTTAACCAGACAAGGAAACCAGAAATGTATGTCTAGTTTAATGAAGAGAAGGACGAGGGGAGACATGATAGCAGTGTTCCAATATCTCAGGGGCTGCCACAAAGAAGAGGGAGTCAAGCTATTCTCCAAAGCACCTGAAGGCAGGACAAGAAGCAATGGATGGAAACTAACCAGAGAAAGAAGCAACCTAGAACTAAGGAGAAATTTCCTGAGAGTTAGAACAATTAATCAGTGGAACAACCTGCCTCCAGAAGCTGTGAATGTTCCAACATTGGAAGTTTTTAAGAAGAGAATGGACAGCCATTTGTCTGAAATGGTGTAGGGTCTCCTGCCTGAGCAGTGGGTTGGACTAGATCAGACATGTCAAACTCGCGACATCACGAGCCGTATCAGGACAGTTTTGCCATTGCCGCCAATGGGGTGGGTGCGGCTTCCGGATGACGCGTCCGGCCCGTGGGCTGGCAGTTTGACAGCCATGGACTAGATGACCTCCAAGGTACCTTCCATCATCATCATCATCATCATCGTCGTCGTCATCATCGTTGTTATTATTATTATTATTATTATTATTATTATTATTATTATTATTATTACAAATATGAATAATAATATTACTCTTACTATAGAATTATAATAAAAGAATCTTGCAAGGTTGAATAGACCTTCCTACTGTCTGCCTTTATCTTATTTAATTTATTTATTAATCAAATTTACAGTTTAAGGCTAAACTTCAAAGGAATGCAGGACCATCTTATCTGAGGCACTTACTCAGGTTATTCAGGTTACAATTCTGCTCCTTTCTCTTATCTAAACCATTGTTTGGATTGCAGCTCTTCCTCCTTTTTGCTCAAGGTTATTTTCATAACCCATTACTGGTAAGTAAAAATGAAAGCAATTGCAGATCAGCAACTGAGCCATGGTAACACAGTGGTTAGAATGCAGTATTGCAGCTAAC